TGGTCCAACTGTTGGGAACAAAGCCACTATCGGATTTGTCTGCACGGCTACAAAGGTTTAGAATGCGCCTCATGCAATACTCTTATAACGTCGAATACATTCCTGGAAAGAAAATGATCATTGCCGATATGCTTTCTAGAGCGCCGATAGAATCGACCGATCCCGGCAGCGACGCGCTTTTAATCGATGAAGTCGAAGCGTTTGCGCAACACATAGGAGAAACTTTACCATTTTCCGACGCTCGTCTACAAAGGATTCGCGAAGCACAAGTCTCCGATCCACAAACGAAAAGAGTGAGGGAATACATCGTCAAAGGCTGGCCCACGAAAAAACGTATGACCCCAGAAGACCGATCATTTCACCAGTTTGAAGGTCAAATGGCGATACTGAACGATCTACTAATGCGAGGCAACAGAGTGTTCATACCGAGAGACTACAGGTCAGAAATCCTCGACCAAATACACGTAGGACACCTGGGCATAACGAAATGCAAAAGTCGAGCAAAGGAGACGGTTTGGTGGCCTGGAATAAACTCTCACATTGAAGATTGAATTGAAAGAAGACCGAAAAATTAAAACCGTCTGAGACACCAGAATATCCGTGGCAGATGATCGGGCGGACTTGTGTAAAGTAGCGGGAAGAACTTACATAGTCGCAGTGGACTATTGGTCAAGATACCTGGAAGTAGCCAACATGAAATCCGAGACAGCGGAAGAAGCCATAGCAAAACTAAGAACTTTCATGGCAAGATGAGGAATTCCGGAAATTCTAAGAACCGATAACGGACCATGCTTCCGGGGTAACAAATTTAAAGATTTTGCTGAGAAATATGGATTTCAGCACATCACCAGCAGTCCGCTATACCCCCAATCAAACGGTCAAGCAGAAGCAGCCGTCAAAATAGCCAAGAAAATTTTAACGAAATGCGAAGACCCAAATCTAGGATTGCTGAGCTACCGCACAGCGAAACTAAGCTGCGGATTGTCACCATCAGAGCTTATAATGGGCAGAACACCAAGGTCCAAAGTACCAGCAAATAAAAGCCTGTACATACCGACATGGTCATACCTGCAATCATTTAAACGCAAAAGAGAGGTGGAAAAAGCAAAATACGCGGCAGATTTCAAAATTCGCCACAGAGCGCGGTCAGTCTCCCCACTTGGGATCGGCGAACAAGTATGGATTACGAACGCAAAGAAATATGGCGTAGTCGTGAACAAGGGACCGGAACCCAGAACGTACATAATAAAAGCAGACAATAATGTCTACAGGAGAAATAGATCACACCTCATAAGAGTCACGAACATACCAACTCAGCAACAAGAAGACCTAGATATAGATCTACCAGAAGACTCCCAACAAATATCACGGGAAGAGGGGAAGGAGTTGAAAGATGACAACAGAGGTCGAGAGAACGCAACCATTGTCGAAACAGAAGCTGGAGAAGGAAGCCAAGCTGAAGAAAACGGAAGAGACCAGCAACGCACAATCGTTGCGGAAACGGAAGAGAGCGCGAGGCAGAAGGAAAATGAGGCCACCGCACCAAGTCCTACAGAAAACGCGACCGCAGTAGGAGGGAAAATAGAGGCCAATACCAGGGCACATCAAGAAAAGTCAAACGCGCACCACCAATATGTAACTCGTTCAGGGCGCCTAGTTAAACCGCCGCGAAATATATGCAACTGCACCAGCGGGTGCAATCACTAAAGGCCGCTGCGATATTTTCCCCAAAAATACTACTCATTGTGTACGTATAGTTAAAAGGACCAAAAGTGTGTGCGTGTATTTAAATCAAGTGTATTGTAAATAATAAGTGTGACTGTCGAACATAAGCATGTGCATGTTTAGTATTAGTGTTAGACAAGCCGGGAACATGACGTCCGGTTCGAACACCCTACAGAAAGGGGGATGTGGTATATGGTGTGACCGTGCGCATGCGAGCCAAGGGGAGACAGCTCGAGAAGAGCCACGACGATGGACTTGGAGTGACGCGCGCGCGGGGCAAACAAGGTAAGCGACAACGCTACAAGAACTACATTCTAATATATACCCACCTGAAACAAACTAAGAAGAGCTAGAGAACATTCAAGGAACAAAACTATGATTTCGACAATGTTTGAACCTATCACCGCAATTTATTTTGATGACCGCAAAGATAAAACCTTAACTATTGAAGAAATAGATGGCAGATCCCATAGAAGAACGATAGTAAGTTGAAGAACATATTTCTTTGATTCAAGAACCAGGTTCAGTTTTCCTGGGTCATACAATACCTTTGTAGGGATCAGCAAAGGACCTGTTTCGAAGTATAGTTGATTGTTTACAAGAAAATGACTTTGATTGGTCTGGATTATTAGCAGTGGGGTGTGATGGCACTGTAGTCAACATGGGATTAAAGAATGGAGTTATCACTCAACTTGAATCAACGTTAGGACGTCCTTTACAGCGATTTATCTGTCAACTTCACGCCAATAAGCTAGCATTGAGACATCTGTTTCAGGCACTTGATGGCGGAACAACCGGTCCTAATACATTTTCAGGTGTATTGGGTATGAATTTAGTTACTGATTGGCTTACTTTGGCAAACCGCCTATTGCGTCTCTATATTTCGACGGAAGAACCCAGCTCAAACTTAAAAGAATTGACAAATTTTGTTCTCAAAGTTTATGCTCCGATGTGGTTTTTAATTAAATTGAATACATCATGTTCAAATGGGGCAAAGCATGTTTGGCAAACCATTAACCTAAGTCGATATTTAAGAGACGATTTAAAAAGAATGATTGATCCAGTTATCCAACGCAATGCATATTTTGCACACCCAGAGAATTTGTTAGTATGTATGCTAAGTGACCCTCGTCCCCATATCAAAGAACTTGCCATTCGACGGATTTTAAACGCTAAGAGAAGGGAAAATTCAAGAAAAATTCGTCCTTTTATACTACCGAAACTAAATTTTGAGGCAGTACACTAACTTAATCGAATGGCATAATAATGAAATCACTCCACCGCCACTACCTCAAAATTTAGAAGTGGGTGACTTGCAAAATATTTTAACAGAAACCCCGGATACTTTCGTTAATATTGATCTTAAATCCTATCCCTGTCATTCTCAAGCAGTGGTGGCCTGCCATGCGCAGGGTAACCTACAGGAAGCAGCTAGGAAAGGTCCAGCGACTCGCCTGTCTGGGAGTCACTGGAGCCCTAAAAACCACGCCAACCTTGGCCATGGAGGCACTTCTGGGACTAGAGCCTTTACACTTAGCTGTGGAGGCAGAGGCTCGGAAAGCTTCCATACGGCTAAACGATTGGGATGAATGGAAGGATCGAGGCAGCCTTGGGCACGGGCGGATCTGGGAGGAAACCCTCAGAACCGATCCCCTCCTTGCAAGGAGGGACGTGATCCGGGCTATCTTGCTAAGACCAAAGCGTTATAAAGTCATTCTCCCGGATAGGGAGCAGTGGCTGAACTCGGATTGCTCGTTCCTCAAACCTGAGGGGCTCGTGTGGTTTACAGACGGGTCCCAAACAGAAAGGGGAACGGGCATGGGTATATATGGTGATCGACCGAGAGTCAGCGTCAGCGTCTCCCTTGGTCAGCATAGCACCGTGTTTCAGGCAGAGATGTTAGCCATCATGACCTGTGCACAGGAAAACCTCCGTAGAGGTTACCGTAACAAGCATATATACATATGCAGTGATAGTCAGGCGGCGTTGAGGGCCCTGTCGGTAGACAGGTTCCGATCAGCTACGGCGCTTGATTGCAGGCGAACCCTAGATAGATTAGGTGAGTCTAATAGGGTAAGCTTGATTTGGGTGCCAGCGCACTGCGGAATAGGGGGCAACGAAAGGGCGGACGAGTTGGCTCGCGAAGGCAGTGGTGGGGTCTTCGTCGGGCCCGAGCCTACCCTAGGGATTGCTCCCTCCGTTGTTAGGGCCAGGATTAAAGATTGGTTGACCAGTCAATTCCAGGCTCAGTGGCAACAAGTAACCGGACTCCGACAGTCCAAGGCCTTTCTAACAGGGCCCGTTGGCAAATCGGGGTCTTCTAAGCTTCTAAAACTGAATAGAAGCCAGCTTAGGAAGATCACTGGTGTCCTTACGGGACACTGGATGGTCAACTATCACCTGCATAACATTGGGCTCGCGGAGCAGTCAACGTGCAGGTTCTGTGGCGAGGCAGATGAAACTACCGAGCATGTGGTCTGTCACTGTGACGCTTTGATCAGGGACAGATATCAACTCCTTGGAGACAGATACCTGGAACCGAGGAGGGTGAAGCAACTTAGGCTAAACAGGGTCCTATCCTTCATTGAGAGGAACGGGCTCTGAACTCAGTTGCGAAGAAAGGGGGTAGGCACAATGGGCCTCTGGTGTGCCTAAGTGCTGCCCGGTCGGGCTCCCCTGCGAATAGAATAGAATAGAATAGAAGCAGTGGAGAGATGCATAAAATTAGTAACGGGCGCTTCCTTATAAGTTGTTGGTTTCCAAAAAAGAGATGGGTTTATAAAAGCAAGGTTAGAATCTCGTAGACTAATGCCCCAATTTGAGGGCAAAAAAGACTTCTTACAATAAGTTTATCCGTTTTACATTTTATTACGGGATCGATTTCTTCATTTGTTTGTTAGTTTAATGTAAAAGTGTAGTATAAGATAATAAAAAAAAATTATAAACAGAATGAAAAATTGGATTCTCAATTTTTTTTATAACTTGAGCGTCGGTAGGGGGCAGAAGACTCAATGTAATAAAAAAACGACAAATACCTAAACATTTTTGTTACTATAACACATGGCAACTATTGCGCTCTATTTCAAACCGAAATTCCAAATTGGATTTTCTTTTTTTTTGAAAATTTTAAGTTTCGGTAGGGGGCAATAGATGAATGACAATCAAAAAATAGTTAATAAACATTTTCATTGTAATAATAAAAGGCTACTTTTACGAACTATCCCCAAGCGAAATTTTAAAATTTGATTTTTCGGCCCACCCTAGTAGGTACTTACATTTTCATTGTTTCTACGCTGAACTAATTTTTCTAATCCATTATATGCTCCACTTGCCACAAATAGGATATTAGTGGTATCAACCTGTATAGTCTCACCTCTCAATTTTCTAGGAGAGTTCCTTTCCGGAACGTTAACTATAGTACCTTCAAGCATTTTAAGCATTCCTTGTTGAACTCCTTCTCCTATTAAACCCAAAATATATCCAACGTTTGGTATGTGAAATTGCAAAGTTACCTCCCACATCCCGTAATTGATGAATTCCAGGCACAGCTCCAATTTTGTCTACTTCGTCTAAAAATACTATACCAATTTGCGCTCTGTCCACACTGTAACTGGCATCTTGAAGTAATTTTCCTATTACACTTTCGATATCCTCCCCCACATAACCTGCCTGCGTTAAAGTTGTACAATCACAAATTGCAAAAGGGACATCAAGGCATTGAGCAATAGTTTGGGCCAGTAACGTTTTGCCTGCAAAAAAACTTACTAAAACTTGTTACTAATGTTATGCCACTTACCTGATCCAGTCGGTCCTAAAAGTAAAATATTACTTTTCTCCAGTTTTAAATCATGAGATGTTTGGTCTAGAATATCTGAACCCAAAGGAGCATGGCGCACGGTTGTTGTAGTGTCCGATTGAGTATTTTGAAAGTTGAAGCCCAATGATGAATTACTATGGCCCATCCCTGTGATATGGAGGAGGTCTGCACAAGTCATTTTGACTTTGAAAGAAAAAAAAGAGCAAAAGCACAGAACAGATGACATGCATGGATTCAGATGTAACCTACTGCTTGAAACGTTGTGATAATGATGCTAGTGATTTCTTTGTAAATTAATTAATTCATTTGAAGAAACGTGGATGTCAGCTCGAAGAAAATCTATCATTGAGTGCCAGTATTACTCGCTTATGTATAATTACTGCTGACCGAACTAATGTTCTATTCTTTGATGAAATCTGTGTAGTTATGAAATTGTATTTAAATATAATTATATAAAGTTCGATATAAATAAATTCAAATTATTCTGCTAAGCTATAGAGGCATGAAAGTTACTGTAACTTTCATAGTAATATTTAACTATACACTGTACACTGCAAGCAGAGAAGAATGTTAGTGGCATAACTACAAGCTATAATAGACGGAGCTTTTTTTCCAAAATCTACTGTAAGATACTTAGGTGAAAGATAAAATGAAAATTATACTCAAAAATACAAATATTCACTTGTGAATGAACCATACAATAAAAAAGATTAATCAGCAGTTGCAGAAAATAAAAAAAAATAATAAATTCACACCATACGTACCTCTATGTGTAAAATTATGATGCGGACCTTGTTCCATCACAGCCATATCTTGCCGTGAAGTATTGCTTTGGTTGTTTGGAATATTATTAAAAATTCGTTTATAATGATTATATACAGCAACCGATAAAACCTAAAAAATATCAATATTAAAATCTTAATTCATCTTTATAGCTGATGTAATTTAAGTGTGTTCCAACAAACTAATGAAGAATCAAAACTTGGTTGGTTCTGCTAGGTTAGTAAGTAACCAAATTTACTAAATGCAGCGTTTGTATGTATTACTTGTCCTTCTTACATAAGCGACGCAAAACGAGCAGACGACCGGAACGGCGAGAAAGGTGCGAGCATTCCAAGCATGTTATACTTGCAACATGGCAATATATGAAACGCTACTTTTTTGTTATTCTAGAGATACAATATGGTGTAATCATTGTCAAGTATTACTGTAGATAATACAGTTTTGAAAATATCTCCTATTGGAAGACAAACATGATAAAGAAAAAGTAAAAGAGTAGGAATAGGCGGATTTTATGATACAGTGTGTCCCCGGATTGACTTTACTATACAAGTAATTGATCAAAAATGCGTGAATCTCGTTTTGATGTTTTGGGATCCCTGTGTAACAGGTGGACACATGGATTCGGCGAGGTATTCAAGTAAAAATCTGGTGGGAGAGCGAAATTCTTAATAAAATTTTCGAAGAGAATCTAGGTATGCCGATCGAGCGCTGTTTTTTCGATCGGGTATTTTTAGCCGAACTGTTGGGTCAGATTTACATATTGGGAACGCGAAGCAATAATAGATCGCGTAAAACATTGTTATTAACCTAAAGCCGTATAACGCCTATATGCGGGGAATAGTTGGCCTCACAACCGGAGACAGCGCCGCCATTTTTAACAATTTTAACGAACGCGGGTGCCTTCTAAATTCGCTACGTGGTGGTTTATGCAAAATGAGAACTTCATTGCGTGAAAAAGGCGATTACTATAGGTTTCAAATGTGAATATTATGAAGCATTGCCATATGAGTAAGGAAGCGCAGCTTTTCTCGTTTCGGTGCATATTTGGATTAAGGTGTTCACGTTTTTAAATAAGTTGTACGCACAAAAATCATAATGAACGGTTGCATCTAAGATAGGCGAAAAAAGAATGATAGACTAAAGAATTTATAACTAAAATTCTCCAGGTTTAAGTCGCACAGCATGACTGTTCTAATGATGTTGGCATTAATGAGTCAGTTAACTATCATGAGTGCTTTAAAGTAGTAAACATTTTTATTTGAAAATATCATATTTTTTTACAAATGAAACACATGCAACCCATGTTAATCATCTCTCATGATAATTTTTTCAGTTAATTATCAACTGATAACCTTTCGTAGATAGCAACAAGTTCAAATGTAGGTAAATAACACATTTAATAAGCTGAAATGGTACTTATAAAAAAATGTAGGTACTTTATACTTGTGAATATCATCACTTTAACAACATTATGCTCTATACTACCACAGTTTAGAAGGTCACAGAAGTTATATGTTGTATTTTCCATTGATTACGTACGGTGTAATTAGGCAAACAGATATTTTATAACAATGTTCAGATGACATCGAAAAAAGATATGGAACGCAAGGACGATGCTTGAAAAATAAAAATATCACCACAATCTAATACAAAACACATACTTATGTGCAATTATACAGAGATATTCTTTTAAGAGAATACATAGTACAATTTCCCTATGTATCCTTTTAAATGGACCACATACAAAATTAGAGAATGTAGGCAATAACATGTGCAATATTATTCACGAGGGGTAAACCGCTGGAGTAATTTGGTGTACACGGTTTGAGTAATACCGAGTAATAGCACAGATAAATGGTATTTAATCTGTGGTAATAGTGAGTAATACTTTGTGGTAATACAACATTATGTATGAGTAATGGTGTACACGTTTTAAACCAGCGGTTTACCTCTCGATTATTCATAAACGCTAAAATGTCCACAAAGGAAGAAAAAATGTTAATGGGGAATTGAGACACTAATTTGGGTAATACTTTGCGAAATGTATGCGATCGACCTGTCTAGGACTAAATAAACAATAACTAAACAATAATAACAGTACAATAGACTTTGATGTGGACCATTTAAAAAGACACATAGGGAAACCATAAATATGTTGACTTTTAAAACAATCTCTCTGTATATCCCTCTATGGGAACAACAAAAATGTTCAAAAGTGATCAACATGTTTATCAGCATTACAAAAAATCGCAAAAAATGACACCTACAATCTTCAAAAAAATTAAACGTTATGAAACTTTCTTTGAAAAGTTTTTATTCAAAAACTTCTCAGTTTTTCTGGTTGAAATAAGTTTCACAAACCGCTCAATATCAATCTGCATTTAGTAAACCAATACGATCACCTTCAGTAAAACAATATTTTAGCTGTCAAAATTCTACATGTAAACTTTTAAAAAATCACAAATCTTGCATATCTTTGGAATTAAGCAGTAGCAATAAGCAATACTATTGTAAATATTACCTTTTTGGCATGCTCCTGACCCACTACATGTTTATTAAGATAATCGTATATTTTCTTAGGAGGAGGTGGCGGTTTACGAAAGATGCCCGCTTTAGCTTCCACTCCTTCCTTTTTCTTCGAATCAACTTCACTTAATACGACGAAGAAGTGATGACATTTTTCACATTTTACGAACCTTGTCGAGCTAACGAATGTTTCTACATGGGTGCAAGGATCTCCGCACTTTGGGCATGAAAGCACCCCTTTATTCTTCCCACTCCCACCTCCGCTTGGAGTTGTAGGAGGAGGTGGTATGTTGTTGGAGACATCTTTCGAAGAGGGATTTTCTGGAGGAGGATCGCCAGAACCGCTTGATTTGAACAAAATGACATTTGACGAAATATAATTGGCAAGTAAAGGAGATGTTTGTTTATATGCCAATAAGCCGCCTGAAAAAAAGGAATCATTTATCAATTGGAAATAAAATAGGTATACAAATGCAAACCGTATGGTTTAAGTTTTAAAAACAGTTCTACCTTCAAATACACACCTTGCAATTTTAAGTTTCGTGCTACCTGTATTAATCTCCCTGCCGTAGTTACACTGCAACGAACACAAGTCATAACGAATTAATATGGGATACCTCTCAGATTTGTGCCACTTTTGAACTTTTATATTAAATAAATGATAAGATGTCAAGGTTCCAATGTCATGACGCTAAAAAACCACTCAAGAAAAAAACATAACCAAACTTGTGACAAAGTTCGATTTCATATGCAAACTTCAAATTTTGATAACATTTACCCAGAGAGTGTGTCAACAAATAACAACGGACTAATTACTATTAAAATTTTGGAAAAAATGACATATTTATTTTTAAAATGTCATCAAATTTTGCTGTGTTTAGTGCCTATTGCCCCCAGGCCGGGCTCTAAACGAGCACAGTCCATTGCGGCTGGAAGCGTCTCTGGTCTGTCAACTGTCAGCGGAACCGGTACGCATAAAATGTTTTTTTAGCGACGCAGCAGTTTAAAGCAGTTTAATTAAAGCGTTGTCTCGCGGAAAGTCAATGACGAAAATCAACCACGTTGTCAGAATTAAATTCATACAGCGGATTTCTCTACACATTTACAAAGTTGTTCGAATCGAATCGGTGCATTCTGGCGACTGCCAAATTTATGACGTCACGAATGAAAACGCTTGGTAACGCTTTAAACCGCTAGACGAACCCGCTGCATCCCCCAAAAACAGCTATAGTATACGTACCACGGACCTCTTTTACCATTACCACGGACCTCGTGACTTTATTAGACAGTGGCGATAACCACGGTCGTATATACAGGTCTGGAAAATCTTTTGTTTGAGATGAGGCTCTTACAGGGGCGTCATTTAGGGGGTGCACAGGGGTGCGATTGCACCCCCCAAGGAATTGTTTCAGTAATTTATCTCATCGGAAATTAAAGAACTTAAGAACTTCATGTTCTAATCATAGATTAAGTGATTTGTTGGTTCTTACCACTCACCAAGATATAGTTAAAAGTTTAGATCTAAATATTCCCCTCGATAAGTTTGCAAAAATGAAGCCTCGAAGATATCCCCTTCTGTTATAAAAAAAATTTTCAATCTGTAGTTTTCTTTTCTGTTAAAATGTATTTTAAAACAATATACAATTTAATCAATAAATGTCACGATTACACCAGTCTTAAATTTATTTTGCACCCCCCAACCAAAAGTTGAAATGACGCCCCAGGGGGTCAATTTTTGAGATGCGATCGTTTTTTTGCGAATACGCAAAGTTACGTGTACGTAGTTACGAATGTCAAGAAAACAATCAATTTTTGAGTGACAGTTTCTATTATTCGCAACTTTACTTACGATCATCGTAAAGATGCGATTGATAGATTTGACAACACCTGAATTAAAATTGACATTTCGCAAAATTAAATCTAATTTCGTATTTATTCTCATTCCATCTGTTCTATGGTTAAAGAGGTGTATATAATTGTACCTCGTTATTATAATGGACAGTTTAAAAAAGGGAGGTGCAAATGATTCCGAAAAGCAAAAAACTATGCTGGTGGAATATGTGAAAAATAAAGGGTACCGCTCACTAGAGCGAAGCGGCGCGTCGACTGGAGTATAGGTATAATGAAGAAATCGATGCTTTAATAAAAAACGAAATTGCTTCTTTAACAAACCATTACATCTCTATTGTTGCCTTTGTTGTTTTGTGGAGATTATTGTAACGGCTTTCTGGAGTGTTTGGTTCCACATTATTAAAATGTGTTAACAACCAAGAGCGAAGGGGATATCCCGAATCTCCTGTAAAGAATAAGTATTAGTGTAAGGAACTACATTTATTAATAAATGTGTCACACACCCAATACTAATCGATGTAATTGCTGCATAAGACCATGGACACTTGATTGATTCCATAAATAGGAAAACTCAATTCCTCAAAACCTTCCCCTTTGAGGAATTGAGTCGTCTATTTCCTATATGGTTCATCACCCCATTTAGAGAATGGATCAACAACGAGTTTTTTCTGATATAGGTATATCTATTTGCATCGTTAGTACCTCTACTTCCCGGATACCTTGCTTTCACATTTAGAATGTTGAGGCTGCTGTCACATATCTAACAACATTTTTGTAACGTTAATAGAGTGGTAACCATTTCGGTTTATATATAAATATTCAGGGTGCTCCGGATCCTCAATTTTCGGAGGAAAAATGGGCACATGCGTGCAGTCTATGCATCCTATAGTTCCCGGAAAACCAAATTACGTAAAAAATCTAAAATCTTGAATGGCCAAAACGTTTATCAATTCTTCTATTTTCGATAAAATTTTTAAAATTGACGATCAACTGGTCACTATACTTTATATTCAAAGCAAAACGCATTCGAATATCAAATTACGCCAGCTATCTACCGCTCGCAAAAAAGCGAAGGATATTTTAAGAGAGCGCAAAGAAACGTGCTGTCAAAATTTGAAACAAACTACTATTCGTATTGTTCCGTATACGTTTCCCATTTGCGAGCGCTCAAAAATTGACCCCCTGGGCTCTTACGGTTCATCAGAGATCAGACTAGTCCTTCGCTTAGCGACTAGGTGGCGTATGGATCTAGGGATGTTTACAGTGACTTTATAGAGACAGTGGCGACAATAGGAGTTCGGCCGCCATTTTGCGTCAAAAAGTTGGCAACACACAATACACGTAGGCATGTGTGTGGCGTACGGCCTAGGGAGCAGATCATAAATACCTGACGCTGTCGCCGTTTTCGGAATCATACCTTTACACATATTGTGAACGACTATTTTCTAAACGTTTTATTAGTAGAATTAGCGATATAAAAACTGTAAATATGAATATAAATTTGGTTGTTTCTAGTAAGAAACAAATCCCTACAAGTATTATGAGAACATCTTTCCTTTTTAGATGAAAATTTATAACAATTGGACTGAATATCAGAATTAAGAATATTTATTCAATGTAAAATTTTGAATATCTTTGCAGGTGAAGGAAATGAAAAGACAGTAATATCAAGAAGAACTGGTTATTACACTTATTAAATAAAACACAAAATTCCTCTCCAATCAATTTATTACAAAATAATTGGTCTAAGGAAAAGACGTATAATTATGATTTTCGCTACCATTGAGTAAGTCCTTTTTGATCATCCCACAGGTTACACATCGGTGATGGTTCAGCATCATATCTTTCAACTTCCACAGCTCCACCTGAGTGGATGGTCCAGATTCCATCAACTGCTTTCTGAAAACCATCCTTTCAAATGAACGTCTTACTCTATTTATGGGATCTACAAAAAAAGGCAAATAGATAAAATGTTGAAAATGTTCTTCTCTTTATTTTCATATACGACTATTTTTTACGTAAAAACGATGAATAAAAAAATCAAAATGGTGTAGGTCCCAATTCTTTCTACTCCGAAAAAATTTTTTGAACGATTTCGCGGGTCTCTCCGCTGCACTACTGACTTAAGCTGAATTTATAGTTCCGTACCCGCAACGCCTTACCGTAACGTTTGGAATTAAACCCTACTTGTTGCGTGTGAATGTTTATAGTTCGCGTTAACGTTGCGTTAGAACGATTACGGTACGTAGGTAATGCCCAAATCTTATTTCTTACGGTAAATCGTGCTAACGCGTTTGTCGTCGGCAGTACTCGGATAATTCAAACAGTTGAGTTTATCCCGACGTTCGTTTCGTTTATTTACAATAATTATTGACACTTTGTTGGTTATTATTATTTTGAAATGCACGTTACTCTTACTGACAGATGACATACAATGGCAGATCTCGTTTCGCACTAAAGCGCAAGCTCATCTCTTACCACTACGGTAACTATAAATCGTATAATTTTCGTTGACGTAAGATTTTACGGTGCCGTTCTTACGTTCTTACGGCTACGGAACTATAAATCCGGCTTTATCTCGTTCAAATTTGGTATACGTACGAACGGATGTTTGCGACGTCCGTCCAACCCTCCTCACCCCCCTTCGTTTTGTTTATTTAATTATTGACATACATATCGTACAATAACATACAAGAATTGTTGAAGCGAAAAGAAGTAGTTCGTACATTTCAAACAAAATTAAAAGAAAGACAATTTGAATTTTGAAATGCGCGTTACTCTTAGGTACTGACAGATGACATACAATGACACAATTCGTTACGCGCTAAATGCGCAAGGACATCACTTGCCACTACGGTACCTAACTATAAATCGTATTATTTTCGTTAACGTAAGATTTTACGGTTCCGTTCTTACGTTCTTACGGCTACGGAACTATAAATCCGGCTTTATACAGGTATAAGTAGGTATACGTAAAACATACGTCCGGTTGGCGCAGATGGTATAACCATTGTTTAAATACTTTATTTAAACAATGGTATAACCATATACAAATGGTTATAACCATTGTATAAATGGTATAACCGTTGGTTTACATTAGTAGGAATGCTATGGGCCGGTACTCTTTGATGAAAGTTAGATCGCTCAGCTTGTAATTTTTCCACAAACTGTAAGTATAGGGTAACTCAAAATTCCAGTGGTGGATCAGAGACATCCAAGAGCATCACAAGTTCCTTGAAAAGAAAGTCATTTTAAAAAAAGCGTAAATGGTTTTATTTCATGTTTTACTCTCATTTACTTACATAATACTTGTACAAACACTATAAACAATATAAATTTTAATACAAACTTACGATACAAAAACTTAAAGTAGGTAAGATGTAACAAATTTTTACTTTAAACAGTTTGTAACATTAAATAGTAAAACACATTCATTTAGATAACACAACGATTAATAGTAACATTAATTAAAGCAGTGGGCGATACAATACATTTAATTCATTATTAAGCTGTATTCTTCACTTAAAATTATACAATAATACTTTGGTTTTCAAAGTTATTGCGGTGGATGGAATTTTTTGTTTTGTTTACATAAAAATTAAATTCATACCATTTATGTTATTACCTCTATATGAATTAATTTAAAATATATCTCTCATATATTAAATTATGATGATGGTTTTTTACTAAGCGTTTTATGTAAATTTGGCAGATCGTTGACATTGCATAAAAGATATGTTCATCTACTTTAATCTTTGGGTTACGTTTGCAAGGGCCACTGCAAATGCTTGAAGAGCCGAAAATGGATATTGAAAATCCAAAGTGTATGCGTTACCATCTATTCTTCCAAATTGCATCACCTAAAAAAATTATGTTACAGATATTTTCATATAAGTAATTTCATGTTTTCCCTAATTATAAGATATCTTATAATTAATAAGGCTGGGATTAAATTTAAATTCAGTTTTAAATTATGAATAATTACGTTGTTCTAGAGTTGTGCTCTCGGTTGTGTTTCTTTTCTCTTTTTCTTTTTAAAAAATTAATAAGGCAACAACAACCTCAGGCGGTCATAATGATAAGAATGGAGGTTTGTGGTAGGTGAAAATTATACTTGAGTCGCCAGGTTTGCGTTTGTTTTGTTTTCATGCTAGCACGGCGGCATTATAGACACGGGAAAGGTAAAAGATCCGCGACAGTGACCATTATAGCGTACAGGTCGTCCGCTAAAATTGAGATTACAAGAAGTAGGTCGCGAAGTTAGTGTGTTATCCGCACGAAGTCAAATACACTAGAGGGGCACTAACGTGTTCCCAGCCGGGCCGTAGGTAATTAACTCTTATCTCAGAAGTATTTAATCCCTTATCAACAGAGATGAATCTTGACCTAAGGAACGCTGAAGCAGTATAAAGCCAATAAGGAAATCAATTTGGGTGAACGTCATACTTATGCCACGAAAACGAGTCTTAACCTAGGGGAATCCTCAATCAAGCTGACTTCTATAGAGATCGGCGCCACCTATTTTTAAAACGAACGAGACGGTCTTGTGAATTTGTTTACTTAATTGTATTCCAAACGCCGTGATCCCGTGATGCAAATATTTCGTTGATATGCAGATTATCTGTCACATTCCCAAGCGAGCACTGCCTATATGCAAAAGCCGTTTTCGGCGCGCAAATGACCGGATTTAAAAAAATCTTTGCAACTTATAGGTTGAATATTCGAACCAAGAAGAATCACCTAAATTTTAATCGAGAAGTGCGGAAACCGATAATTGTGGACTAAGTTCTTTGGAAAAACGTCCATACGGAATAAGTGACGGTTACCATCTTTTCCTTGACCCTGGACCTTGCATTTATGTACTCTCTAACATACCCAACCAATACTCACTTGCTTGCCTCGAAATTCAATTTGAAAATTTTTCGCAGATTCCTGCGTCACCCTTCCACCAAAATCTAGTTGATACACCTGACTACTTTCGTTCCACATTGGAGCTTTGTTGTGCATTACAAATTCGCGTCTTTGGACAGATGGAAAAGAATTACAGTTGGTACCATTCGGTTCTATTTTTCCGCGCTTCAACTGTAACTTCGTAGAACTAACTTAAAAATTTAGGAAATTAACGTACTATGTACCTTCTGTCGCAGTTGAGCTTTTTGAAACGTCTCTAGATCACGGTAATTTGTACCATTAAACACTTCGTCTCCGGAAGCATTTACTTCATCATCGGAGCTCTCCTGGGCTTTATTTTTTCTATTCTTCCTCCCTAATAACGGCGACGCCAGTAAGTGTTTCCGAATGGGCGAAGCAGATTGCGGTCGTTTACCTAGAAGCATAACTTTGCGATATACGCCGTTATAACGTTACCAACCTTTTTTGCTTGGTGCTGGCGATGAAGGAGAACTTCTCGGTAAGCGGGGTGAGGGTGGGGGCGTCCTATTATCATCTCTTAGTTTGGTTATAAAATTTTCTAACGTGGATAAAGCGTGAGTGTGGATAGGGGTACTTTTTGGAGTGTTCGGTTCGGTATTGGACGATGAATTAATACTTATTTCTTTTCGAGGACAGATGGGAGTTTTTTGTTTAGTCCTACTTCTATTTTTAGAAACTTTTTCACTCACTATATCACTATCCGATTTTTTTCGCTTAATTAAGGGTGATTTATTAACAAAAAAATTTAATTTAGAGTCTCGTTTACCGGATGATGATAAGGCCTCAATGGTAGATTTACTTGTTGGCGGAGATGGACTGGACGACTTTTCATCACTGCTTTTATTTTCTACTTCCGGTATTGGTTCCTCAAGGTGATTTTTTAAATTACGTATGTTTTGCGCTTCGCAAGATGGAAAAATATCTGTTGAATCTAAACTCTTGGATTTGCCACAGTTTTTTAAGCGCGATGACTTATACACGATGTTTCTGTGATCTTGAATCAGTTTTTTGGAATGTTTCCTTTGCTTAGTTTTTTGATTGACTAACACTAACCGTTTAGGAGCATCTTTTCGTAACATTTGTAATGTTACATCGCTAGGAACTAATTGCGCATCAACTAAATCTAAGTATCCGACGCTGCAACTTCGTATCATAGAATCTGTAATATACGCAGCGTTTGGTAGCTTTCTGGATGGACCGGCTATAGCTTCTTCGTTGTTTTCTTCATCAATAAATTTTAGTTTCTCGCCCGTTTCACTTTTTTGGGTCTGCGAAACAATTTCGGTTTTCACTACAGTATTATTTATCCCTTCACAAGTACTACTTCTAAGATTCATACTTAAAGTAGTTAGAAAATTTGTATTGTCATTCTGGTGGCATATTTTGGGGGCAGATTCCATGCCATCCTTTTTAACTACTATGGGCTTACGATGATCGCTTGCTAAATTTAAATTGACGGCCATTCCGTTGCGCCCGTGGTCGTTAATAATACTAGACTTGACTTGTTGAATATTGTTTGAAGTGTTGGTGTAATTGGCCGTTGAATAAGACAGTAAAGTTTGCGCTGGTGGTCTATCGAAAATAATGTCACTTGGTGCAACGGCGTTCTTAGGTGATTGCAAAGCTGGGACGGATCCCTCACAGCACAAAGGAGATATTGCGTGTCTCTGATTGGTAGAGTTACCTGCATTTGTTCTCCCATATTGCGTTATAAAATTGGTATTCTGTAGGGTGTTACACGCTCTTGCCGTTCCCTGACTACTTCCGTAAGAGCATTGGGGGCGAACATTTTCGCAGTATCCGACTATTTCACCGATATGAAATAAAGTTTCATCGTCGTATGATTCTGTACGTGCAAGCGCCGGAACTGGCGCAATTGTTGCTATGCTCACTTCTGGAGCCATAGTCTGCAATTTTGGTTTGTTTAACCTTGGTCGCGGTGACATTGGAGCTATGGGCGGACTATGATCTAATGATGTACGGCGCAGTTTAGCACATTCTTCAGCATTGTTGGGTTCTTCTTCATCTTCAGAGAATATGTTCGGATTAAAAGTAGGATCGGGACCAGTTGGGAAGTCATCTCGCAGCTCCGTCATTACAAGAGTCATTTGCCTGGGTTGCAAATGCAATAGGGAGGTTTTATAAGTTACTTGACCCAGATTGGCAGGCACGGAATTCACTAAACCGTGAATCTTGAATTTAGTCCCCCATATGTTGGACGTAACTTCCACTAATCTGACATGCTACAGCGCAATGCGTTAGTGTCGACTACTTCAAAAATTAATGAACTTACCTCTGGTAGGGTATCTACGTAAGCTAAGTCATCTCCGTCGGCCTCATTTGATACATGTGTTTGCGGTTTCTCTTGTTGACTTGCCCGAGGTTGCGACTTATTCCGGCGTTTACGCCGTCTTTGCATTCGTGGAGACCCCGCACACCCCTCTTCCCTATCACTATCCGAAGATTCCGTCAAAACCCCACTACCGTTAGTAGACTGAACAGAGGACCCTGAACTTTTCGATTCTGGAGACCATCGCAACTGTATACCAAAGTCTAAAATTCATACCTAATGATTACGCTTACGTCACTTTTCCGTACCTTCAACTTGTGGATCGAATATTACAAACTCAGGTCGAATTTTACTTGTCCGTTTACCTTTTAAAAGTGGTACCAGCCCTCCTAAATATTCCAAATATAATGTGTAACATGTTCCTGATGATAAATTGTTATCTTCATCGTGTCTTATCATTGTACAATGTAAGCGAACCGACCCCACTGGAGGTTTAGATACAAAATCTCTTAAAGCACTTGCTTCAGGCACACAGCACTGGAAATGGGGAAGTTAGTTTTGAAATCAAGGTATATTGATATATAGAGAGCCAAAACGTAATCTTCTAGATACTCATTTAACCGAAAAGTGTGACACTTTATGTAACATGCAACTTGTGATAATCAACAACTGCCCCTTCTACACCTGTCGAGATGGTTGCCCAATTGTGCGGCGATTTTGCCAGAAAGCCCTGATTTCTTAACGGTTTAAATTCAAAATTTTGACTAAAAGTAGCAAAATAATTCACTGGTTTTACGTTTCTTACGTATTCTGCTTTGATACCTTTCTATATCTAGGTACTACTTACAAAACGATCAACAGTAAGATTTTAGAATTTGAAAAACTGGAATAGATTGACCTTAGGCTTTGAATATATTCAAAGCCTTAGGTCCTTGGTTAACAATTATGTTTCTGGCTCTCCAATTAAGTTAAGTTGAAAAACACTAACTCGTATGGTTTGGGCAAAAAGGTTTGCAATCAAACTTCTAATTCGTGCTGGTAAAGGTAAGGCTGGAAGTTGCGATTCATGGCAAACTGAATTATGAATACATAATCTGCATAGTAGCTGTAAAGTTGCTATTCTTCTTGAAACCCAAGCAATGTGGATTTGGGTTCCTGTTGCCAAAAATAATCTTTTATCGTTGTGGCCCCATGTTAACGCGGATACGGTAGTCTAGAAATGGCATTGCTTGTATAACATTCAAGACGATGGACATTGCTTACTTGTGTAAATGGTACGACGGCGTCGTATAACAATACGCCTTTTTCATTATAAAATTTTAGCATACTAATTGTTTCATTAATGTTTGCTTGTTTTCTGGCGGTGCCTGCTACCGCCAGAATTTCTCTGGAATTACTCCATTCCATGCAAAGAGGTGCTTGCAATTCCGTATCCACGTGAATAGGTGACACATCGTCAAAGGTTTTTAAAAGGAATATGTAACCATTTTGTAAAGAAACAGCAAGCACAAATCTTCGTTCGGCTGGAATTAAACGGTATCTAAACAGTTTATGGAATGTGTTCGTACCGGCATTGGTAACACCGGGATCATTGTCGTCGCCTTCTTCCATTTTAAATTTCTCGCAAGACCATGCCATAGATGATATTCCCACATCTGCGCTCAGTTGCACTTGTGACACCATGGCACCATGCACATCCATCACAATTATTTGGCCTGACGTGGTTCCAAAATACACTTGCTGATCATCCGGAGTCCAAATACCACATGTAATAGTTGCTTCTAAGTTTAACATTGAAGACCAATATCGTTGACCCGCGACTGAACCAACCAAAACAAATCCATCCTTAAAAATAGTTTCAGTTATTTTACTGACACGGCGATAATGCGGGTTTTAGATTGTAGGTGTATATCCGGTGAAGGTTGGCAACTATGAAGGAAAGCCCGACGCTGAGAACGTGAATTAAAGTTCTCCCAAAGGAAGCTTTTGACTTCGGCCTCTAAATCATACCTTTGCTAATTTTCGAAAGACACATACGCGTGAATGCGTCCGATCGTAATACATGTTTATCAAATCCAAAATTCCACCTTTGAAAAACTATAGGCGTGTAGCAAAAAAAATGGAAGAAGCCCAAAAAATATTAATTATTTTGGCATATTTAACAAAACAGAACTACCCAATAAAAGTGAAATAAAGGTCTTGACCATTCCAAAACATTTCTGTCTTTGTTTAACCTGATGATTTGACACTCCCTGTAGTATAATATATACCTAATAGATAGGTGTTTCAAACCTTACCTGGTAACAAATTAGTGCCATTCGCCCATCATGAGACCACGAAAAATGAGTAACAGGTGTGCTGCGATCATTTATTAATTCGATTGACCACCTCCCCTCATACTTAATCCATACAAATATAATACCGGAACTATCACAGGATGCTAATTTTTGGTAAGGTTCATTCCACTTTACTAGAATTACCTAAAAAAGAATGACATTTTAACAAATAATTGCAGCCAAATACGTAGGTAATTTGAAGTTACCAGCACTACTTCAATAAATTTAGGAAACACCACATTTAGAGCATTTATTTCAAAATTTGTTCTAGCTGCAATGAGAATCTCAAATGGGTTATGAAAAATTCATTTTTCTTCAATTGAACATGCTTGTGCAAGTTCCTTTAAAAGTCTTACTTATATCAAATTTAGGCAGCAATATTCTGAAATATGTATATCTTTAAAACAAACGTATATACCGTTTCTCTGAAGTGGTGGTAGTGGTCACTCAATATATCCATATTCTAGAAATCCCGATAGACATCGAGGCGCCATAAAAGATTAGTCATTGGCGACAAGAAACGAAAACGAATGACACGCATTCTTTCCGGACAACATAACGTGTTTGTTCGAGAACACTATAGAATATTGGGCAGCGTTCGAAAGCGTTCGAGAACTTTCTAAAAAGATGAGTATTTGCTATATAAGCAAATCGAATTGTGCTTCAGTGAGTTCAAACACCGTTGTCGAAGTGAAATATTAATTATAAATAGATCCCGCCTTGTGTTATGTTATAAATTGCGAGTTAAATAATAATTAAATTACTGTTACCTATAAATTAATCCATTTCAAGACTGTTATAAAAGTATTGTTATAGTTAATTGTAAATAAATAATTTTAATTAAAATTAAATGTACGTTCAATACCCATAGTGAATCCTGTTACGAACATTCGGCATGGAATATTTTCAAATTGACAGAAGTGATTTAGCCTCACTGACCTCTGAACGGTGTCCTCTTAAATTGTAGTTAGTACGTGGAGGAAAGTCAACATTCTTTTTACAATGACTAGTGGTAAATGTAACGCCGACAATGCCACGAACGTTTCCAGTTGCCAACCATCCCTCCTGGTAATAATTTGTTCTATTGAGTTTCCAACCTTCGTCCTAGAACAATCATATAGTAAATTAGTAAAATGCTATTATTTTATAAATAATTTATTTTTAAGGCATGGGAAAAGCAAATATTGCCTATCCATACCGAAAACACGTTGGAGTAATTGGTGTGATAATAATTTCTTAACATTAAATCAGGAAAAAACAGGTCTCATTGTATTTGATAATAAACTCGATAAGTCATTGTACGTTCGGTCAGGAGACAAATCTATGCCTCAACAAAAAGAACTAATAACGTTCCTTGGTGTCACATTGGATAATCCAGAGATGGGGAAATAGCGGCCCGCGGACCAAATCTGTCCCGCGACAAGGTTCGATCCGGCTCGCGGTTAATACCAGTCTATAAATCTATAAATAATCGCAAAAACAAATGTATGAACAGGACAACTGAGGAACATCTTGAGATCGTTTTGCGAATTTCTGAAACTACTTTAGAAACTACTATACTTTCGTCTCTAAACAGGGTGAAGAAAATGTGATTTTCCTCTCTAGTGAAGAAAGTAAAAAACAAAAACGTCAAAAATGCAAATCTTCGTAATTTTTCGTCCTTTTTTTCTTTCTGGCCTGGTACCGGCGTCCAATGTTTATTTATATGTTAAAATTAACATGTAAATATGTGGGGACCTCCCGCAGCGCCATATGCCAGGGGCCTAAATACCAATATGGCGCCTGGAAAGTCCAAAAACAGTGAAAAAGTCGTATTTTTACTACACTGGGCACTCATTCTCCATTTCGGTGGCCCGGAGCAATAATATGCGAATTGTGACTACAAATCTAGATGTTACACATCTGAAGGGCTTAACTGCGAATATAGGGACCCGTCTCCTATAAACGTTGACTTCGGAGCCAAGAGGCGAAGTTGGTTTGGCGGCGTAATTTCAGGGCAATATGGGTAAGTAAAAATATATGAAAACACGCTTCCCAATTTTTCTTTGATTTGTTTAAAGCGTAGGTAACTGTTGGCAGTCGAAACTGTTAAGAATATTGAACACTAATATTATGCAAAATGAAAATCTTTAAGGAAATGATTTTGCGTTTGAAATTTACCCGCCACAATATAGGTACTCTCTTTTTTGTGAGCTTGTTCACGTTGCACTGAGTTACCTGAAATCTGTAAGAAGCGGTACAAATGGTACCTAGTAACGCCAGGCCAGCAAGAGCGAGGCAGTTGCCGTGGTACTGGAAAGCGTTTTCCTTTTTATATCCCTGCTGTTTGGAGGAAACGATGCTTTGACACAGATTGATGACGTGACCCATGGAAAGGGCGAAATTGCAAAGGAGGCAGCGAAAGTAACATTATTTTACCTTACATTGAAAGCGACAACAGCTCGAACGATGACTATTAGTATTATTGTTTTCCCTGAAAGGGAGGAAGTCACAATGTTTGAAAAAGTTGAACTGTAACTTTCTCATTCGTTAAATCGTTTTACAGTTAGCATCCTATCATTTTACATAATATTAGTGTTCAATATTCTAAACAGTTTCGACTGCCAAGCCAAGAGTTACGTTTTAATTAAAAATTTAAAAGCATGTTGTCACATGTACCTATATTTTTACTTACCCAATACCTTGAAATTAGACCGCCAAACCAATTTCTGCCTCTTGGTTCTATAGTTAACATCCGCAGTTAAGCCCTTTTCAAGTGTGCAACATCCGCATTGGTAGTCGCAATTCGCATATTATTGCTCCGGGCCACCGAAATGAGGAATGAATGGTCGGTGTAGTAAAAATACGGCAAAAAAATGACTTTTTCACTGTTTTTAAACTTTCCAGGCGCCATATTATGGTATTTAGGCCCCAGGCATATGGCGCTGTTGGAGGTGTCTACATACTTAAATGTTAAGTTTACCCTAGAAACAAATATTGGGTGTCGAGAACACGGCAAATTGCATTTAAGCCCCTATTATGAATACGAAAGTGTGCCTAACCGGTGTCTTCGTGTGTACTAGATGTTATTCTACCCGTAGTATACCCAAAACGTTCAGTGGCGTACCTTGCGGGCTCGAAATAAACGAAAAACGGCAATTTCAGTCGCCATCTTGGATTGAAGGGATTAAATGCCAAAATCAGGTCTGGCAACAGGGCGCATCGTTTTCAGCGGAGTCGAATTAGTCTAAAACCGTCTGTTGCCAGTTTGTAGCACAATACGCCGTTAGACATGATTTAGAGAGCCTTTTTCAGAAATGTCTCCCTGACTATAAATATTGCATACGATAATTTTGCAATTTTGATTGTACCTACTTTCAGAAAAAATTATGTGTAAAACTTGAGAAGAAAGTGTTTTTCAACTCTCGTTCAATTGACACACTCGCTACGCTCATGTGTGAAGCTTTGAACTCCAGCCGAAAAACTCCACTTTCTTCTCTAGTTGTACAAATATTATATTGTGGTTCAAATTTCAGTCTGTAGGTTGCCCAAGGGCCGAGATCTCGATGGAACGGACGGACGGACGGACGGAAATTCGAGCACATAAGCATTGCCTCAATTTCGTTGTGTTACACTAAAAAGTGCCGTTCTATTCATGCATAATAGATATTTACATAAAAGTCCGGAAAATGACACATTAGTGGCGAGGAAATATTGAAGTGCGAGGCCCCTTTGGGGCGAATACTTTAATTTCCGGGTCAAGTAATTTCATTTTACTGACGAGTTTTGTATTAAATTTTACCCGAAATCGTATATATACAATTTCATTTCTATATAGAACTTTTGATTTTTGTCAATCGGTCAGTGATGACAGGAGTCGTTATAGACGTTTAGATGGGGCCGGTAAAGTGACAGTGCGGCCGGTAAAGTGACAAGCAGCAGAAAACGTACTCTGCTCTGCATCTGTCATGGAAACTAAAATTTCCTGACAGGAAGTGGGCATGAAAATGAAGGTTTCCGGACGATTTTGGGTAATTAAACGCTCGGCTAATCATTTTATTTATCACATTTATTACCCAACCTAATTTTACCATATGTAGACACAAAGTATACCGGTAGGTCAGGAGCTAAACTTAATGCTTACATTTGCATTCCTTAATTAATTCCTAGCCAAATATCATTAATCGTTCGTTCAGTAAGGTAAGTCGGATGTCCGTATAATAAAGGTTTAATGGGTACGTATCGTGCAACTATGCAAATGTGTATGTAGACGTAGATATAGGAATATCTAAAGATCTAAGCTATACCTATTTACGCGAGAATTTGGACAATACATGCATAACAGAAAATTAACTTGAAATTGGGTAGATATGTTGAATTTATTGGAATGCCTTTCAAAATGTTTAGAAAATATATTGAGTGATAGTGATCCTTTAATTACAACGCCGGAGATCGAATTTCCCGTAAAACAATTGTTTCGTTGTTATTGATGTGATCCAGCTAAAGACATAAGCAATAAAGATTTCTTAACTTTTATTATCGCAACCCATACCCATGCCCGTTGGTTATTTGTCTCGATATTATTTGTATAGTCGAAACTATTTCTAAATGCGCTACATATAGTACTTAGGTACGTACTGTCCCTTATTGTATAATGTTAATGGAGTGTGAAAAAAATTAGAAAAAGAAAACACGCTTTAAACACTGTGATCTAAATAGGTCAGTGGCTTTAAATAAAAATCCATCCAGACAGCCGTACTTCATAAACAAGATACGAAGAAACGCCTACGATTTTCAGTAGGGGTATTTTTTGACACTCAACTGGCATTCAGAAAGAGGACTATTAATACGGCTCATATTCAATAGCACTGGTCCTTGAACTGGTAGAAATAGATTGGCGAAGGTTCGACATGGCTGTCTTGTTTTCGTTCTCAAAGAACAGACAGACGGACAAAACATTACATCAGGCAGATACATGTTAACAAACGGATTGAAATAGATGTTGACACTCGTGCTTATTTTATTTCAGCAACAATAATTATTGCTGTTCCTGCATCTATATAATTAAGTTGCTCTTAAAAAGAAAATATTTGCAAGAAAAGTGGAGGGCAGTGTAATAAAGTCGTTGTCAAAGTGTGCTACTTTTTTTTGTGTTAATAATAAAAGATAGAAAATACTATTGTTGACGAAATGCGCAAGATGTCGCTCAATGAAGGCTAACCTTTTACCTCAAGGCGTTTTCTATGGTAATTTTTAGCTTCCTTACTGGAGAAGGAAGCGATTCAGAAATGGATGGGAAAGACCAACAACGATGCACAACTGTTGCGAAAACAGAAGAGAGCAATTGTGATATCGAAGAGAGAGCGAGGCAGCAAGATAACGATACTACCGCAGAAAGAAGCCCTAGAGAGAAAAAAATGGTACGGACTAACGGACGAGGATCGAGAAAATGAGACTGCAGCAGAGAGGAAAGTAGAAGCCAATATCAGCACTGAGCAGGAAAGGCTAACAATACGTAACGCATTCGGGGCACCGAGTTAAACCGCCGCGAAATAAAGGCAACTGCACCATCGGGTGCAACCACTAAATGTTGTTGCACTATTTTCCCGAAAGACCAACCGTTAACCGAAGCTAGTCATATTTGTAAGTGTAGTAGAAAGGACAAAAATTTGCTGCGGCTAGGGCAGATACCACCCGCACACCTGAGCATGCGCGTTCTGCTCAAAAGCGTTTCAATTTTTCCTTTTATGCCTAAAATGCTCGACACTCAAGTCGATTACGCCGGCAGTCCGTGTACTGTCAGGCCTGGCCGGGCGGCCTTTATCGTTGCTCACAATTATTCCGGCCGAGCAATACTTACAATGCGTTTTTCACAATTCTCATCGAAGAGGAGAGGAAGTTGAACATAAAATAAGTATGGGGCAGTTTTGAGAAACAGTTTGCCCAGAAATTTATACCCGATTTTGATGTCTTATCTTAGTTACCATCATGAAGTAGATAAACAAAACGTGCATTTTTGTCATTAAGAGCTCTTACAAGGGGATACTGTGTGCGAGATACTGAATCCGAGATACAGTCTGTCGTTATTGCTCTCTCGCAGTGATGCACTTTTTCGGCGAACCATTTTCAGTGCAATGAAAAAGTATCATCGTGTAAAAGAAAGAGTTCCATATAAACCAATAGACCATCAGTCTCCCAAAGTCGTAAAATTGCCGTGCGAAAATCGCCGCTATGTATGAACGTCTTCATAGACGCAATGTTACACGTGTATCTGAGATACCAGTCTGCTCCGATAAAAAAGGCGAAATTTGTTGACACAGTTACCTATAGTCTAATGCGCGATCTCTGAGGTTAGAGTTTTACCACCCTAAATATGTTGGTCGAGTTCGAAGAGAAGCTGTGGACACAGATGCTTACCAAAACTTCTTAACTTTATTAAGTCATCATGAGAACGACTGTATAATATTTGGGCCTGATCTGGCTTCGTATCATTATGGATGGCAGAAGAACTCCGGAATGGTTGGAACATAATAACGTCAATTATGAACTACAGAACATAACCCTTCAAACGTACGTACCACAAGCTCGGCCAATCAAAGAATTTTGGTCGTTACTGTGTCGAAAAGTTTACGACAGCGGATGGGAAGCCCAAAATTAATAACAATTGCGGGCTTGCATATTTAGAAAGATTCGAGAAGAAGACCTGAACATCGTCCAACGGCAGATGACACAAGTCTTAACCAAATGCGTGCTATTGAGGATCATGGTCCGCTATCAATTTTGTAGATTTATTTGCATGTTATCAAAAAATGTTATACTTTAAAATTTTAATAAAAGTTCGTTATTTCGTTTCGTTGATCAGGCCTGTTACATTCTTTTTCAAAACTTATGTCCCATACGTTAGTATAGCAACGAGTCTGGAACATGATGCTCGGGACGAAGTTCCTACAGAAAGGGGGATGCGATATATGTATGCGCCTGATGCAGACAAAGACAGATCAAGTGGAGCGAGAGGACAAAGCAGATCGAGTGACGCACTCGCGGAGGTTAGAGTTAAGCGACAAATAACACATCCTTCCGTCGGTCTGTGTACCAGATAACTCGCGGACGGTTTCGAATTTTCCAATTCTGTTTTCAGTATTATGTTTATCATCACTCACGGAAGACCTGATCAAATTTTCAGTGCCCCAGGAGCTCTTTTGCTATATTTGTTACAAGTTTATTTATATTGCATTCCTAAAAAAAAATTTCGACTGTGGAACACAATTACAAAGAAAGTACCTACAGACGGACGAACAGAAGGACCAAAATTATAAAGTTGCTTTTTGTCGCTCGTTGTATTATGTTGTAACATAAACACAGGTAAAGTATACAATTTACTGATTACTCTACTAATTTATTTGATGTATTACGGTTGTATAAACCTGCAATAAGAATGTTGAAGTTTTGAAGTTGTAGTTTTAAAATACATATTGGCAGTTATTTTAGTCCAGGGTAATTAACCAATAATTATACGTAGGGTATTCTTAAAACAAAATATAAAGCTGATAATTGTTAAACAGGTAGCTTTTAGTATAGAAATTCATTATTTCTGGTCTTGCAGCGTGTGGTGGGTGGTGTAGTCGCGGAACAGCATCAGAATGCAGAAGACGCCGCTGCCGGTCGCACGTTGCGGCTGTTCAGTCGGTGTCTAGAGGTCGCGTGTCATGTACTTTTCGAATAATATTACTGCTAAAGTAGCACAATTTATGATTCTGTGGATGTCAGGTCCCAGGTATTTTGAAGGGGGGCATTCCGGTTTGGAGTGGTTTTAAGGATATTTCAATGAATCAAAGTCGGGAATATGAAACATCATCAATATGACATCTACCTTTTGCAAATATGTCACCAACAACTCCATCAACTGTCTATACTTCTGTCTTCAACATGCATTGGAAGAATGCAAGAAGCAAGGCTAAAAATTTTGTATTGTAACGTTTGACCAACCAAGGAAGAGTACGACAAATTTGTCGCCAGTAGATATTCTACTATTAGTCGAACATCAAAATTCTGGAGTAGCATTTGGACGGACTTGACCATCGAGCAGGTGTTAATGATATCAATGAAAGTAGAAGGAGGACTTACAGGTGATCCAGGTCTTACCGATTTAACAATCCCATGCTGGAATAATACAATTCTACTCAGTATAAACGTTGCATGTGCGGCAGCAAATGTTACACATTAAAACACAGTATAAGAAGTATAAGTAGTCTGTGGATATTGTTGTAAGTGATTCAAATTTTCCTTCTCCTACGTAATTTTTGAAAAATACCTCGAATAAAAGTAACTTTGTTTCATTCTTGGCTGCTAAATTTAAAGTTCAAATTTCTCCGAGGGACGCCGACTCACGTAGTAATACAGCTTTCGCATTTCCTAACGAAAATAAGAAAGGACTTATAGTCGGCGAGGACACTGATCTCCTGGTCATAACGATTGTAGCACGGAATAATGATAAACGTTTAATGTTAATTCCAACAACAAAGTTTAATCTACAAAAATTGTTTAATAGCAAGCTACCCCAAGAAGCACTTGGGAATGTAAAAAAATCACATCGCTTTCCTCCATACAGTTACAGATTTCGATGCAATTCCTTCACTATTCAATTAAGGCAAAAACCAAGCTTTTAAACTTTGCAATCGAACGACACTAAGGCAAAAGGTTTCTGCAATCAATGATACAAATTCAACTGAAGAATACGAGTATATTGCTCAATAGGGAGATCACTTCCTCAAACTGTTATTTAACGGGCGCGTTTCTTCGGATGACTTTAATGGAACTAGATTTACCTTTTATAAAAAAGGTTATAGCTAAACAACCAGTTTGTGGAAAGTTTGATCTCTTGGTACTACCACCAACATCTGGAGCAGCAAGCATAGTTATAGAGTTTTCACCAAGTTTAGTCTTTGCATGGGATAGACTTTCCTGCTACTGACTGGGGATGGTAGAAAAATATGCGGAAAATGCAATGGTGAAACATGCTGCAACAGACCTTCCATTCTAGTTGAAGGGGACGAAGAGGCGGATGTACAACATTACTCATTTTATAATAGTCAACCCAACAAACCTGGACCCTCCAGACTAGGCAACTAAACTGTTTGAGGTTTCGGTTTTTGAGATATTAAAGTCAATTTTTTGGCAGAACTACTTTTTTTATAGCTTCCACAATGGCCGTGAATGGTGGCTGTCCACCAACATGCACGTGCTGCAAGACTATAGAATTTTATTTACTTATCCATTAGGTACCTTCACACAAATTGTTAGCTTTATATTTTGTATTTAGTTTGAATAAGCTAATTACCCTGGACTATTTAGGTTTTTTTTATACTTACTACTAAATACAAAAAATAGCACACTGAAGAAACCTCTTAATTACTTCACCTTTCAGCATTTTAATTAAAATAAAACTACGTTTGAATGTCAAGCATAGGTATTTGTATACATCTACCGCGCATTACTTTAATTAATGAGAGCATGTGTTGTCATTTGCAAATGGGGGCAATTATTGCAAACTAATGTAAATTTCTAAAGTAAAAAATAATAATTACCTCGGGTAATTCATCGGGAACTTTCCCCATCCAGGTGAGTGATAATATGGAACAATCGCTTTTGGCATTCACGGTGCGTTCGAAATGAAGATGCATATTTTCTTGATTAGACCTGACAAAGTGTATCACATTTTTCCAAAGGAAATGAATGACAAGAAGTGATGAAAAACGACGAAGTAAATGCAGCACACATCATCAACTCGACTTGAATTGCTTTTTGTACCTTGGTAACTGGAATTGTCTGTTGAGAAACATTAGAGCACATCTATAATAAGCCTACACCTTGCAAACCACCGACATATATTGATTTTGATATTTGGGGTAAATTCTGCACGAAAAGCTCGGCGCTCCGGGAAAGCGCAGAGAGTACATCGAAAGGGCGCAGGTCGCTTGACGAAATAATGCTAAAAATATTACTTTTGAAATTTCCGCAATTAACGGTGGAGATTTAAATTTTTTGGGTTAAACAACTAGGTGGATGTGTGACGACATGATGACTATGATTGGTAGTATAATCAAATTATTTACACTGACAACTTCGCGTGCGAATTTGCAATTTACTTGGCAATCGGTTTATCATTTCCTTGCCAATTCTCTGCATTGCTGCATTAATTTCCCTGCAATAATCGACATGTGTTCCGTTTTGTGGCACAAACTTAGAGGTAATTGGTGAGGGGCAATTTTATATACCTAGGTATAATAGCGATAATCGCCCATACCTTTGAATATAAAATTATATTCAAAGCCCATACCTAGAAAAATTGAACTGATGCATAATTTAGTCAAAGCTTTAAATTCGACCAAACTTTTAAGTGGATTTCGCCATAGTTTGTGTTATATTATGATTTCACGTAAAGGCGCAGATAGACTAGCAAGTTACTTGCGACAATCTCGCACAAGAAACTTCCACATGTATTTACCTACACTGTGAACAATAAGTGTCGCGATAAACTGTCGGGCAAGTTGGGTGAGCCATTGTTGTCACAATTTCTCACAAAACTGTTTACACTAGCAGGTCTTTTAACTTCCGCAAATGCGACGTTTTGGCGCCAATAGGACATCGTTATGTTGCCGCGGTTGTAGTAGTTTTATGCAATAATGTAAAACATAAAAGAAGTAATAATAATAATAATAATAATAATAATAATAATACCGAATATCTAAATAGACACAATCTCACTGCTAAAATTCTCCACAAATACTTACTTCAGAAATATAACATCAAATCAACACAAGAGCCGTATTACAAACATATACCCGAACCAGTTCACGAAAATAAAAACTACAAAATTTACTGGGACCGAAGTATTATCACGGACAAAATCATAACAAACAATAGACCAGACATAGTAACAATAGACAAAATACACAGAATAACAACATTAATAGACATCGCACACCCATTAGACCACAACATACAGAAAACTATCGCAGAAAAAATCAGGAAATACACCGACCTATCAGAAGAAATTAAAATGATGTGGAAAATGGAAAAAGTTCTCATCCTACCAATAATCATATCAGTCACAGGCCTAATACCATCAGAACTATACACGGAATTCAAGAAACATAATTTACCTATCCAAGTTATAATAGATATGCAAAAATCAACAGTATTGGAAACATGCCGGATAGTAAGGAAAGTAATGCATTGAACAAGTCCACAAGTAATAAGTTTTGCGAAAGCCCTTGTTACTTTATCCACGACAAGTGAGGAAAAAATTTATAAAAAAATAATAATAATAATAATAATAATAAAAAGGCTAGACCTGAGTTCTCACAAGAAACACCGACCATAATAATAATGCCTTTATTGAGTAGCAGCTGCAAAATGTAGAAAGGAAAATGATAGTATTACAGCTCAAAGGGCGGAGTTCAGCTTGTAATAAAAATTACTCGCTGCTCTCCCACTCAACCCATAACGATTGTTTAAATGATCACATAAATGTTATAAATTCAGTTGTATGCGTCATGTAACAAGAAAAAAGAAAAAAATAGTAAAATTAAAACATAAATTATAAAGTTTAGCAACAGTAACATTGTAACATCTACGATTTTAGCACACTACCTGACCTGACCACTATACCTGAGCTTCTAGCATGATCGACTTGCACATGCGTTTAAATTGTTTTAGATTTTTGGATTTTAGAGAATTTGGGAGGGGATTATACAATTTGTAGATGTTAAAAGTGAAGCATCTTTCGAAAAAAGATGTAATGTGTAATGGTGGACTTATCAATCCCCTAAACCTCAAATTTAAATTATGAACATCTGTTCTGTAAGTTATTTTATCATACAAATACGCTGGTGTTTTGTTTAGAATAATTGAGTGATAAAGCGATAAGCTATGCAGATCCCTTCGCTTTTGCAATGCATATTCAGCCACTTCGCTTCCTTTAGCTTATGAGAAATACGTTGAAATTTCCTTATACCAAATATTAATCGCAAGCATCCATTTTGTAGCTTTTGAATTCGCCGTTGATCGATAGAATCTATACTCTGTTTTTTAACTAGGAAGACGGATTTAAAAGTTCCCGCAAAAAATCTTAGTTTCTATTGGCTCGCGCTGCGCCCGTTTTACACCCAGGTAAAATTGCTATTGACATGATTTAACTGTCAAATTTAATCGCGATTCTCGTCCGTAACTGTTGTACTTATTTTTGAGTTTTTCTGTGTTCTGAATCCATTTGCATAAATGTTAACAAAAAACACAGTTCTTTTAAGAACAAAAGTTGATATTTCGCGTCCTAAGTGTACTGGCATTAGTGATGAATTCAACTCCAAGTACCTATCAGTAAACCAAGCTTGTCTCCTTTGAAAAAACGTAGTCGCTTAAACTTGGGTCATTTTATCAGTCTCCGAGAAGCAGTTTAGTATAAACACATAAACAAATGTTGTCTGATCCCCGGATATGAATTTTGCTTGTGTTGAAGATCATCTACCAGAGGTAACGTAAATAATGATGTAGCTGGTATATATTTGGTTATTAAAGTGTGACACATATTAGGAATATTATTATTGCACGATCTACAATATACCGGATAATTAAAGAATATCGAAGTACTGGGATTGTTACCCCTTCGAAACGTTCCGGTGGTCATAACGCTGTTGCAAATGTGAGCTCTGACGATTGGCGGAATTGTGTGCAACACGTTACTAAGAAGAAAATAAGATGTGTATTGGATGGCCTAATGGACACACTTATAGAACCATTAATTATTTCACTCGGATCGGAGGACAGTGACAGTTTTAGTGAACTTTCGGAAGACGGTGACTAAATCGCTTATAAAGCAGTGAACTGTGCTGTTTAATAATATGACTATAATTCCATTGTTCTGAATTTGTTCAATAACTTAACATTTGTTGTAAATTGTAATGTGGATTGTGTAGTATTACAACTGATAAAAACATTTAAAATTATAATTCAAAATAATGTTTCAAAGACCAAAAAATGTATGCAGGATGATTACCTATTATCAATGTATTACATATTTATCATAATTCGCTTTTAAAAGTATGATGTATGCATAATATAACGGAGTTTCTACCAAATAATAACCCAAAAGCATAAATCATGAAATCTATCCAAATGTGAAAGAAAATCTCATCACGCAACCCACAATACATGTCTGTACAAAATGAGTCTATTATTTTTGTTACTAGATTCTAGTGACATTTCCAGTGTAAATCAGGTTTTTAAATCCGTCTTCCTAGTTAAAAAACAGAGTATAAACACGCATTATAAACGTCACAATAATTTAAGGGAGAAAGGACGAGTGATTCGCAAAGTAAAGATTTGATTTTTGAACTAAAAGAAGATCTGAAAGGATAAATTTTTTTCAAGTTGCCGTACGCCGTGTTGGGTGAGAGAATGTATGTCAACAAGAGAAAAGTATGGAGCCTACCATAAATTAATTGATTGATTGATTTATTTATTTATTGTGTTGAGAGACCGTACAGTCCGAGGTACAGTCTTTACACTTGTCAGGGTTTGTATATAAATTTAACATAAATAATATCAAGTGCCACCATGCTCAGAAAAGCCCCGGAAAATATGCGAACTAATTTTGAAATAATTCAGGCTGGCCAACAGAAAGTCTGCAAAACGACGCGATACATTCCACCCCATAATTATTAATTATTCCGTTTTGACAGTTGACGCTTTATGTTATTTGAGTTTACACTTTGCTTCTTGTATTTGCTTTATTTCACGTCTTCCGTCTCCAGTTTTATACAAACTCGTCAATTTCAAGACGCATATACTTACAGGGTGAGTTTTAATGGCATTACGATCTCGGAAACCGCAAGAGATAGAGATTCGGTTAAATGAGGAAAGAGTTGTCGTTTTTTGTTTTTTGAAAAAAATCCACAGTTTACTAGATATGAGCGAAAAACAGAGTGATTTTTCATTTAACTGTTGTAGAATTCTTCAAGCGAATAAAAAACATGTGTCACTAAAAATGATTTTAACTTGTGTCTGAAATTGTTATACGGCAATTGTCTGACATTTCGGGCCACAGTATTGAACAAGCACTTTGATTTATAAGGTAGGTACACCGTTTTGGGTTACAGCGAGGCGAGAAAATGGACACGTCTAACGAGATCTTTTCGTCTAGTGTGGTGTTGGTGGACGTCAGATTGTCTTATTTATAAGTTTTCCTTCGTTCTTCTTTGCATAACATAAAGCTTCAAGTATGTAAACACTAGGGAGGGTTAGTATTTTATGTTCTTTAAAAACGTTGCGGCAATCTTCTTCGGTACCTCAGACTTTCCACGATTCTTACCCCCTAAACATACTGCTCAATTGTTTTTTTATTTCATTAGGTTTACATAATAATCGAATTAAATAGACCTAACCACAAACCACCTGACGGAAAAGTAAAGTTGAATAAAATACAAAATAATGCCGGCGGGGGCGGAATCGTGTATTGTCCAGACTGCGACTCACGACTGCACTCAGCACTGATTACCATCACCCTGCTAACTTCAATAAATGCATATTTTGTAACATATTGTAAACTTTTGTCTCAAAATATATTTTTATTTACCTAATTCAGTTTTACCGCTTCAGCACTATCATTATCGCCTCTCGTATTTTTTCTGTCCCTCGTCAGTATTCGGAAATTAATGCAGCAATAGATAGTTTAACAAAAAAACAGCTGAAATTGGGTCAACTTGGGTACTTAAAAAAAATTCTCGCGCACTTTTGCATTCTCTAGCTTTTTTTTCGCCCCCCCCCCCCCTCCTGAGTAGATGTATAAAACCGCCCCTGATTCTTACCGATTTACGCTGTTAGTTTAAAAATGCG